TAAACTCGAGCAACGACTAAAAAACCTGTAAGGATATATTCTTGGTTCATTCTGGTCTCAACCATATCAAAGGGTAGTAGGTCAAAGCGATGCATTGGGATGTTGGATGTATCATCAGGAAGGCGTTTGACAGTAGAGTTTGCATACAGTTGGATCATAACTTTGTTGTCTCCCACAACACGATACCGGTTCTTGTTATTAACAACAGCAAAGTTCTTGATATTATAAACAATACCTTCAACAATCGTATTACGAAATGCATGTGCCCAACTCCCTTTGATGCGCATGAATATAAGAGCCCTTTATAGTAAGACGAACACATGTTAGAAAAAAATAACAACCAGTCCTAAAAGGAAAACCTAAAGCAGTACCTCCACATCAATCAAGACCATATCAGTACTGATTATATCTTTCTTGTTCTTCAAATTGTATGCATCCCACAATCGAGAAACTCGCGCCTTAATCGCACAATTGTTAGACTCACGTGTAAGTCTCTGGATAGATATGTGATCATCCATCTTCTTCCCCAGTAGAGTAGACATGCCTGAAGACATAATGGGGGGAAAATTAAGACACTTATGACAATCAATGTTCTTGAAAGCAAAGTGGATGATATTGGAAGGCAACACCCAATTCATGTATTTCTATATACATGGGGAGGTCACTCGCAGAACCCTAGTCACCCAAAAGCCACAAACGTCCATGATTGCAATTCATTGGAAGTAAACATACAACTACCTAGAAATCAAATTAATTTCACTCACCTTAAACGCCCTGTTCACGTAGTGTAATTCCCATGGGATTGAGGACAGCGGGAAAGGCACAGCACGCAGCTCCCCGCCGAGTTAATTGGCTGCGTAACCGGTGAGTTATTCCTCATTTTTCCTCTATGGTGCTTTAAAAGGTTGTGTCCCATGCTAATTTCTTACTCTCCTGTGCAGTTTATACTTTTCCGAAGTTATACTTTGTCGGTGTACTTTTTAATCAACCAGTCTTAACTACATACCTAAAACAATGCAACCTTAAAAGACCACAAAAGTAATATGCAATTCTGCAGATTGTATGGTGCATATGTTTTTCCAATAAGCCAAAGTTTTTAAATATAAACTAATTAAAAGGAACACAAATATATCCAGCTATGTGAGGTTATTTTAAAATTGTTCTGTTGCTCAAGTGTGACCTGTAACAGTTACTGGTGAGTAGTAGAGTTTTCATTCCTGTCTGTAATAAAGGGTATCAATTGACACAATTCCTTGGTAGTTGTGATTGAAAATTGGATTCATCTTCAATGTTAAAAGAGAAGTGAGACTAATATAAAAATAGTATTTGTTTTCAAACCAACACAAAAGTGTTGATTCTTTAATTAAAAAAATCAAACCTTATTAGACAATGGGAAAAAAGAATCTGATAGCTTATAATAAGATACTAACCAAATTCAGGGGGGAAAACAAAGAACTCACAATTCAATCGTAATGTGTCCTCTAGTGAGATGATATTCTTTCACTTGTCGTGTGTATGCCACTAACACTGTCATGGCTGCAAACACGTCCATTGTTATGTATTCCCTGCCAAATTATAGCTCAGATCATTTAGCCACCAAAGTGTTCTAAACCTTGAACAAAGCTCACTGTGAATGAAATAACTATTACATGGGGACCCATATACAAACACCTACCACTGCATTTTTTTTCTTTTTATTAATAAACCAGAGTGCAGTAACATAAATTATGCACTTTCATTAATGAAGGGTATATAGAAGCAAAATCCAAAATCTGAGCAAGAGTTCTCGTAGAAACCAATTCTGAGTTCCAAAACCTATAAACATGTGGCATCTTAAAACAAAGTTAAAAGTTATGGTTACTATTAATAGGAAGGACATCTAAATAAATTAACAGTTGTAAAAATGGCAATATGTCATGTGGTATACTATAATTATTAATGGAATAAGGTATAGTGAATGGTCAAATGTGTGCCTGAAGTCAGTACATGGGGGCAAGTATAATACATGGAAAGGAAGGATAGAATATGGAATGTACTTTTCTAATTAAGGTAAATTATTTTATTCAATATTACATTAGGCCTTTCTTAAACCATACTTGAAAAGGAAGAAAAGTTAAATCAATAGGTGACTTAATATGTGTAAGGTTGCAGATACAAATTTACGTAGGAAATGTCTATGTTGGTCACCTCTTTAAAAGCCGAAATATCCAGGTCACTGATTTCAGAAGTGAAGTATGTGTCATTAATAATGAGTATGGCAAGGAAAGTAAAGATTAAGGTTGTCAGTGAAAGTGGCAGTTTGTTGGAACCAAATTACCCAAACCATAGTACTCCTGAGACCAATGGGAAAAACCAAAGGTATGCCAAAATCGTATGAACTTCCTATCAGACATGAAACACTTTAGTATAGTCATTCAAAGTAACTGACATTGAACACCATAATGTACGCGGGTAAACGTAAAGAAAGCCACAGTCAACATATCCGAAGATTTGAATTAATGAAAGTAAAGAAAATGAAAGTAGAAATGAA